TAATACTGATAACTAGATCATTAAGGCTTTTACATTTCCTGGTAGGTTTTCCTGTAGGAAACTACTTAAAGTGTGCTTATGGAAAAACAAAAATGAGCATGTCATTATGTTAGATCACAGACTACTGTCATATTGTTCTGAGGTAGGAACTCAAATGTACAGATGCAGATCAGGGGAAAGGGGACTTTTTATTAGGCTGATAAAAGTTCAAAAGATTATTCCAAAATGAAGTCATAGAACCTAAATCCAAGTGAAGCAGACAGCAGTACAGAACAAACACAACTGTTTATACTAGGACTGAACTGAGGGTAAATGAGTGGAGCGCAAACAGCTGGATGGAAGCAAAACAAACAAACAAAAAACAACAGGTGAAACTAATCAAGGCTGAGGCGCTCAGTGGAAGTGAAACTAAAGGCAAGGCATGAGAGACACTACACTATCAAAATCAAACAGGAAGCTGTCAAGTTGATAAGACCCCAACTTGACACAGAAGGGCCCATAGGGTAAGGCTAAAAAAATGGGAAAAAGACCAAATGAAACAAACTTATCACCAGATAATGTTTTAATTCAAAAATTAATTAAGTGGGAAAACAGCTGGGCTAATTTGTAGTGTATATCTAGTAGCCATTATTGGTAATGCAGAAGACTGCGCTCTATAAAAAAATCTTTTGACTTAGAGCAGCTTTCCTTCAAATACGTGTATGCTGTACCTCAGTATTGAGCACATCCAAGCACTGGAAAAAATACTACTTGTCAAAGTATGAAAACATCATCTAAAGTATCATCTAATACGGTTAGCATGCTAGCAAGCTAATTCGCTATCATCTATTTTACTGCCTTGCTAGCTATACAAAACTAAACTAAAAAAAAAGACAAATAAAACTAAAACCTAAAAATGAAATGAACAAACTTCACAATGTCTGGTATGGTTCAGAGAAGGGACACAATATGACCATGAAAAATAAAAGTATGAGAACACAGTGTACATACAAAAAAGTACAGACAAAGTGGTTTAAAAAATAGATGGATGGATGGATGTTTGTCATCCGCTGAGTACAATGGCTCACCCCCTTCTCTTTCTTTTTCTGAACAAAGCTGTTGAAGGTCTTTCGCTCAGGATACATCCACACACACTCATGTTTTCAGATTTATGGGAAAAGGCCTTGCTCTAGTTTCTGTCTTGTTCTTGCACTACTTTTTGTTAGCTTAACTACTCTGTTGGCTAAAAAAACCCAAAGACATAAAAACCAAACAAACTGATTAGTTACCAACAATAGACCAATCTCTGTGGTTCTCATGTCCCACCAGTTGCCTTACAGATTGCTGCGATCCAGCTAGAGTATGCCTCACTTTATCATAAATATTATAGCTCAGCTTGCTAACATTCTCTTGTGCTCAGCCCTTAGTGTCAGAAAGGTTATTAGGTAAAAAGAATTACATCCATTAAAGTTTTGACTAGATGAAGTCACTAGATAATAGACCATGGGATTACTGAATTCATTAGAATTGATCGATCAGGACAGAAACAGTGGACGGTCTTAGATTGCGATCTGCTTCAGTGAGGTCTGGGGATTATGCAGAGCCTATTGAACTGTTGTGCTCTTTCTGAAAAAGAGGCATTCTTACATTTAATAAAACTTAATTTTTCACGGTGATGAGCAGCCCAAACTAAATTTCCATTTTCTTGGCCATTGTATTAAGATAGGGGCAGAAATCACAGAGAGCACTTTCCAGATAAAACCAAAGCTGTTTGCACGAGTAGAAGAGCTACGTGTGAAAGTGTGTTTATGTAATTTGGGCTAACTGAGCCTTTTAACTTGAAACTCGCATGGTTTTTACTTGATCATAAACCGTAAAGCTGAGAAAGAACTGACACCCCGGCTAAATCTGTGATGTCTGAGAACACAGTAAATGCGCTCGCTTTTGTGGTACAAGTTGTTTCTTTACACAGTGTCTAAAAAGCCTAAAAGCGTATTTTCTGGTACTGGGTACAATATATCCAGCCTGATTCTGCTGCCTGGCCAACTGAGTGTGCCTGCCAAACATATGTATGGCAAAACTGACTCTCCAGGCTGCAGTAAAAGTGAAGCGCATCCAGGCAGACGCGCACCCTGGCCTGTGGAAGAAAAGAACCAGCACACACAAATGCATCTGTTTAATTTAATCATGTAATCACCCACTCTATAGTTCAATAATAGAGAGAGCAAAACAGGCATGTACATATTGCTCCTGTCTTTACTTTCTCTCTTACACACACACACACACACACACACACACACACACACACACACACACACACACACACACACACACACACACAGAGTCTCTCCCAAGGGGATAAATCAGTCCTTTCATGCTCTGCCGTCTGGCTGGCCCTCTTATACTGTGTTTCTATAACACAGAGAGAGCAGTCTCCGTCTCTTACTATTCTAATGGTCACACATGCACCCCACTCCTCCCTCCCACTCTCTCTGTGTTCTTCAAAGACTTTCAGGTGGAGTCAATCTACAGGTACAGTGCACAGTGAAGATACTGGCCTTTGCACACGTGTAATGACTGAGGAGGGTATATCAGCCTAATGAAATGTGGGTGTGCGCATGCTTTGGCATGTGTGCGAAGATGACGAGGTATAATTTGTTCTTAAGTGATAAGGCTGAGGTAATAGCTTTTTGAAATAGGACCGTGGTGATGATAAAGGTGGTCTGATTAACATGAATGTAATAATGTTATCACTGGGCGGTAATCGGGTGATGATTTGTTGGCGATAATGATGCTGTTAATGATGGCCCTGTTAAGAAAGTGGTATATTATAGAAAAAGGGACATTTCAATTGCTATTATAACAACAGTAAATGCACCGTTTTATTTATACGGTAAGCATATTTGGATGCATGGATGGAAACACAAGATATTTGTATAGTTTGTATACTCATGAAATGCACTGAGTATACTTGAGCTACAAGAAATGTGCACATTATAAACTGAGTTCATTTCTATTTTCACTTTGAATGTCATCACCTGTCAATTAGCAGAGTACTAAGAAACTCAGCCACATCCCAAATATTCTCATTTTGTCAGAGCTGCTGGCCTCACAGGGATACCCACAGAGATGTCCTTTTGATGTTAATACAGCAACCCACTGGAAATCTTGGATGGTGACAGCAAAAGGTTCTGTTTCAGACAGTGTTGAAGTTGAGATAAGAAATCAGCAGGAGTTGGGATGTAAATCACAAGATTTTTAACCTGGAAAATGCAATCCATGAGTTGTCTGGGAGCTTTTATGTTTTGCACTTTGTCTCAAGTCTTTTGACTTGCTCTTTGGGGTTTTTTTCCCGCCTGGTCTCTTGATTCACTGTACTCCATCCATCCATCCATCCATCCATCCATCCTTCATTCCTTCCATCCATCCATCCATCCATCCATCCATCCATCCATCCTTCATTCCTTCCATCCATCCATCCTTCCATCCTTCCTTCCTTCCATCCATCCATCCTTCCATCCTTCCTTCCTTCCATCCATCCATCCATCATACCCACTTCCAACTAGGGTTGCTGTGGGATGGTGGGCTGGACGCTATTCAAGCTGACAATCCATGAGGTACGATGAATATTAAGAGCCCTCAGTGGGTTAAAATGTGATGCTACACAGTCGTGATCAACGATTGTAGAAAACAGTCATTGGTCGTGACAAAGAGTTGATATCTCACAAGCTGGGTCTGAGAGCAGTCATCTCTGACATACTGGTATCTTTGACGAAACAATAACATTTGATGCTCTGTATCTGTGTTACCAGTGTCAAAAGGTCAGCGTTAATAATGCTCCAATAGAATAAAGACAGGGATTGAGAGTGCTGAAAAAGGCTCCTTTACTAAAAGTGACTCATAGTGATTATCATGATTAAAACCAATAGATCGATGAAACTTTAAAACAAAAAACTTTTGGCATCACTTTCTACGGAGGCAGGGTTTATAAAGACTTTATACTTTCTTCTTCTTCTTTGTATTAGAAGCATAAAGTAAAGCAGTGAATGTCTCTGCATGATTAACTGTAACACGATGTTACAGAAAACTTTAGGAAATAAAATTTAGTATCATTTTTTTAAATAATGTTTATGAAGGTTTTTGTTGCCTCAGATCATGGGAGGCACCTTTAGCACTGTCAAAGCAAGAAGGTCCTGGGTTCGAATCCAGCAGCTGGTCGGGGCCTTTCTGTTTGGAGTTTGCATGTTCTCTTTGTATGTGTGGTACTTCTCTCTGGCTTTCTTTAACAGGCAGTTTTAACTTAACTGGTGATTTTAAATTGGCTGTAGGTGTGAATGTGAGTGTGAATGGTTGTCGTTCTCTCTGTGTTAGCCCTGTAATAGACTGGGGGCCTATCCGAGGTCCACCCTGCCTCTAACCCAATAACAGTTGGGACAACCAACATTATATTGCATAAATAATACTTTTCTTATAACTGACAAAAACATATGCATTGGTCTTTTTTGCTTCCCCCCCCCCCCAATATGTCTGGCAACCCAAATATATTAGTGGATTAGTAGATTTATTAACAATGGCTTGAAACATTAGTCATTCTTAAAAACCAATATTATTAAAAGTTGTACCAAAAATCCTTTTAAAATTTTCCCTTTAATATGATTAATGTTTCTAAAGTGACTTGTGGCATAGCCTACGGTGCCTTAGTCAACCTCTCCTCCACACTAATGGAGTGAGATAATGCTTTAATTTTCTAAATAGCCTGGCGACCCAAAGCTCAATAATGTGTTTTTGATCTTAGTAATATCTTAGAAGTACTATGTGAAGCTTAAGTATATTATCTATTAAGTTCCAATTAAGGGTTTAGAACACATAAACTCTGGAAAAATACCTTTTAGGAAAATAAAAGTATTACTGAACTCTTATAACAAAGAAACAGCGTAGGTTGTGAGTGCAATTGTACTGGAAAAATTCTTGTGCACAGGAAACTCCAGCACATAAGGCAGATGAGAGTGATGTATTGATACGTGATGAATGATGATCACGATGATCACGCCGGTGGCGGAGGTGGTGGATATAATTATGAGCGATGATGGACATAATACTGATATTAATCACTCCCGAGGAAAAAAGGCGATGATTAAGAATTCAAAAGACGGGACAAAGAGAGAGAAAACCGTGGAAATTAGGAGGTGGGGGAAAAAAACGTGCACGGATTTTCGGGAGTGACGTTGTTTGAAAAGACAGAGCGAGAGAGAGAGTGGGGGAGAGAGAGAGAGGGAGAGAGGAGAGACGGCGCGATAACAGTGTTTGCCCTTCTTGGACTCAGTTTTGTGACCGGCTGACGGACGAAGAAACTTGAGGCAATCCCACCGACATCCTGAGGTAAATTCAAAAATGTCCTGCTTTCAAAGATAATCCTGTCTTTGAAAGCACTGTTTCTGTTTTGTTTTTTTTATTATTACCTCGGTCAGGCTGGCTGAAGATCAGACCCAGTTTTCCCCTCTGTTGGTATTTGGGAATTGCGTTTCTCCCCGTCTGCTATCAGGCGACACTGCTTGACATTCACCGTTTTTTAAAACTGAAATTACGGCACGTGACGCGTAAAATACCCACATATCGATCCGTGTTCCCTCTGTACTATTTCAGCGAAACAGATGGATGTGGTTAATTCTCGCGGCGGTCCGACTCCGTGCGTATTTCCGACACTCCGGAGGGTATACTGGGTTTTAGTCGTTGTAAAAGTATATCCCTCGAATCTCAGTGGAACATTTAAGGACGGACTGTTGTTGTAAAAATTATTATAGAGCTATCACATTCATAATGGCCGACAGTGAACGTGGAGTCCTAATTGGGAGCCTGTGGTCAGAGATTGAGGACTTGTCCAGTGTGCTTTTATGTTGGGGAATTTCACAACATACTTACTGTTGTCCATACTGATTGATTATCTTATTGCTCGTTCATTCATCGATTCAGTCGGGTGTCTATTCCTCTTATCACAGGACGAAGAGGATGCCACTTTCAGTGCAAGCCGGACGGGCGCAGTGTTTTTACGCGTGCGAGCCGATTCCCAACAGACGGAGTGCACTGCTACTGACAGACTGTCACTATACGGAGCACCGACACCCCGCGGCAAATATTTTACCTGCGCGCCGTCCGTATGTGGAAATTTGTCTGCGGTTCAGCGCGTCCCTAATGAGGGCGATCGGCTGCGAGTCGCTTCAAAAACCCAGCTTAATTGCGTCCATTTATTACGCGACCCTATAAGTCGGTGATAATCAGTATTTGGCTTCATATCCACGGGTGTCTGGTGACGTGCCTGTGCCTTTGCAAAGTGCTCTGTTTTTGCACAACTCTAATATATGTATATGTGTATATATATATATATATATATATATATATATATATATATATGTGTGTGTGTGTGTGTGTGTGTGTGTGTTCTCTCATTTGTGTGAGACCTTAAGCATCCTTTGCTCTACTGGGAAATACATTTGCTTAGATTTATGACCTGCCTTCTCAGGTTATATCGATTATGGCAGCCTACTGCCGTGCTTTATTTTTGTAAGAGCAAGAAAAGTGGGTCTGCCACGTCTATATATAATTTCTTCATGTTGTAGGGTGCACAGCAAGCTTTTGATGCAGCTGGGTCAATTCTCAAGAGGAAAATCTCTGCCATGATGGCCCCCTGTTGAACATATACATAAAAACTAATGTGATACATGAATGACTCCCTCACACACACGCGCACACATGCACAAACACACATGATGGGTCTTAAGCGACTATAATGACTCTGATCAGTGCGAGACATGTTTATGTATGTGGAAAGCTCATGTATTATACATTATTGTTGCACCGGGGTGTTTGGGTGCAATCAGCTCAATGTCTGTGAATACCATAGCTGCAAATGTGTTTATGTACATCTGTGATGAATGTGAATGCATTTATCTTTGAGTGTACATTTGATCACGTGAGCACATTTGGGCATTTTTCCCTGGACCAGCTGTGATATTACATGGCTCTTCTGTGGAAAAAAATATGATTGCTTCTACAAATACTAGTCTCAATATCAATACCTTATCTTGTAATGTGGCTAAGATAAAGAACCCACTATGATTCTGTTATTAACTGTTCACACCAAATAGCCTTTGCACAGGTGGGGAGTAACAAGGGGAAAGGAGATGTAAAAGGAGGGCAGAGAAGGATGAGGAAGAGGGGGAGGCTAGGAGAAATCAATGGATTGGAGGGGGTTAGTATGGAGGAAGAGGGAGTGGATGAAATGTGAACAGGTAGAACATGAGGTGAGATTAGAGGGAAGAGTGGGAAACGAGTGGACGGTGGGAGGAAGATGGAGAAGAAGAGGGAGAGGGTGGTAACAGTGGAAAGAGACAGTTTGCATTGAGTCAGTGACTTATGCTGACGATAAAACTGCCTGAAGAAAAGAAAGAAAGAGAAAGGTGCTGTTGTTGTGACACGGGAGGGACACGGAAAATCCCATTAGCGGACATTACTGGGTGTTGTGGACACCCGGACACCAGCAGAGGAAGAAGAAAGGGTTGGTGTAGATGGTGAGTTACTGAGGAGGATGCAGAATGGCACAACTCAGACAGACAGAAAAAGGCACAGAGGACTTATAAAAGGAGAGGAACAACAGCTGAGGAGGCTGCAGGAGAACGATATTTGAATTCAGGTCTCGAGTGAAGATTTTCTTTAACAATTCTCACCTGCCAATCTTACATAACCTTGTTGCCTCTCATGCCTGAAGTGGCTTGTAATGCTTTGCCAGCAAGACAGATCACTTACTAATACTGTCCCAGAGAGTCCGCTAGTCGTCTTTGTTTAAAGGCTCAATCAAAAGCGGTCAATAACATGCCCTCAAAGATGCAAACGTCCAAAAACGGTGATCACCAAGTCAAAGAGAGAAAGATGCCTTCGCATGGAGCCACACCCCCACTTCATGGAACACACACACACACACACACACACAGAGGACATGAGAAATGATCAGTGAGCCTCTGTTTCCGTTTGATTCCCTCCTAATGAGAATAGGAGAACCCCCAAGATGAGCACCCTTGGGGGCTTTTCTATTCCGAGAAAGTGTGTGGCAGTCGATGGACGCGTACCATTCATTAGCTGACAATTCAGTGAAATGAATCAGACAACATGGCCTCCCAGGGATCCTTGTGGAGAACAAGGAAATGAATGCTTAGTGTTCAAGACATGAACGTTCCCCAGGGCCCTCACGCAGAGAGGTAATGCAATTGCAGAATTCCTTTTTCCTTTCCGATTGTTATAAACGGAAAAGGGAACAAGGAGCTTCTAGGATCTAAGATCGCCTCAGATTCTGCTCGTGCTCTCTTCTCCTTGCTTTTTTGGGATTGGGGAAATGAGCTGTGTAAAACCTTCGGCAGAGTACTATTCCTCTGGTGTCAGTCTTTGAAAGGGGAAGTGAAACGTCTGCGACTCTGAAGTGACTTTGCCCAGAACTAAATCTCAACTATATCATCTCCAATTACCTACTCAAGGCAAGAGACTGGCGAGCCATTTTTCACCCATACGTGATGTTCCCTTTAAACTCCAGCTGGATGCGGAGGGCGAACAGTTCATTGCCTCGGTGCCCTTTGATGGTGATTGGGCATCAAAGGAGGGGAAAGACACATGGTTGCTGATGCAAACTTTTTAAGAATGGAAAAACGCCAATGGATTCACAGCAAGCATCTCTCAGGGAAAGTGTTGAATTTAGGTTCAACATCCTTCACGCTTTTCTCCGTCCTCCCCTGCCTCCCTCCTCCAATACTGTGATGTGTCCCCAGCGTTCCAAGACTGAGGTTAGAGCAGGACAGGCTGACCCCAGCTTTAGCAGTGCTGTGTCGAGACATGGAGTCAGTCTCTCCCCCGGTGGTGATGTGAGGAAGGGAGGGGAGAGAGACGGTCATTTAGAGGAAATGGCTATGCCTAGCAGTGCAGTCTTTTTCCTCACTATAGGCCTGTGGGATGGTGCTGCAGAGTCTGTCACGGTCTGATTGCTCCCAGATCAACACTGCTGTTTACTCGTGTGCACGTGACAATAGATATGCACGCACCTACTCAAGCAGTGGCGCACACCTTGCATAAGTTGTCAAATGAGCATAATTTCCAACCATATTTTATTGTGAACTTTAAATTTTTCCCCTTGTGCAAGCGTGGAGGTGCGTTGTCTGTCTGCTGCCAGCAGTGGGTCTTCGTTACCACCGGGCAGAACTGAATTTCTGAGCTCGATGTCAGATTGGTGGAGGCAACCCCCAGCTCGGTGGTGGATGGCTGTTTGAATGGGTGGGATGAAGGCGGACTCCCGTGAAAAAAGTACAGCAACTCGCTCCACTGGAGACATTATTATACAGAAAGACAGGAGGCTGCTCCAGGCTGTGTGTGGAGGCGTGTGTGTATATATGTGTGTGTGTAACTCCTGTGTATTTACATTTATACCCCACTGTGCAGAAATGAGATAGAGAGAGGGCAAGGGAGTTGGACACTGACAGAAAGAGAAAGCCCGTATGACTGTTGGTTATAGGTGTGTGTGTGTCAGTGTGTGTGTTGGTTATAGACCTGCTGCCACTGGCTGAAGTATTGGAGTTGTGAGCTAAAAAGAACCCTTTCTCTAGTTATTTCAGATGGAAAGTTGAATTTGAGCCAAAATGAAATATGATACTGGGCATTTTCTTACATATTTTTTTTCTAAATCTATTTGGAACGGCTTCAGTTTTTTCACGCAGGTGCACAGATGTTAAATAAGCATGCCAAAGAAAAAAAATGGTGGTAATAGTAAGACTCCCAGAGTCCCTGACGTTGGATTAAATTGGGAGAAAGAAACTAGACAAATCCAGTATATATGACTTATTTATTTATTTCAAGCTGTGTTAATAAAAGGTTACATTATGGAACTGACGAATTACACTACAGTTAGTAATCACACCTATGCTGTATTACTTTATCAGGTTTGGATCAAGGGTTGACTGCTGACTATAATATCACTTTCTTCACTCTGATTTTTGGGGGGTTAGCTTGCATAGGAAATGAGAAAGAAATCATATACCTGGTCTTACTGTGTCTCAGTAGCCAGCTGGCCTCCCCTGCATGGGTTCCCTGCGTTTGGTTAAAGGCAAGTATTTAGTTAGCATATGTTAGCTTAGCTTCAGTAAGTCTCTGGGGCAAAGCTAACATGAAGGGTAACAGTCTGCAATTATGTCATAACCGTAGGCTGGCTACTTGTTAAACCATACATGTCTTGTTTTCTGTTTCTCCCACAGTTTCTCTGAACGTTCAGTGAGTTATATGTAATGAATAATGTATGTTTTCTATGTACAACACCAGTGTGGCTAATTTTCAACAGTCAGTTGGTGTGTTAACTTTATTAATAGTCTGTCTGCCACCAGAAGTCTTTGGGAAAATGGTAATTTGGGTGAACATGTCCTTTAAATATCCCAGGGGGAGAGTGCCACGGTGGATTTGAGCTGAAAAAGCCCCCCAACTTGTGTAAAGCCTAAAGTCCCATGATGCAACAGTATGCTAAATAATTTAACAACTATCAGCCCACATCTGTCCTATAAGTCAGTTTTTCGCTTATATATCATTAATTATACTTGGAATGACTAAAATTATCTTGATTTGCTATGATAATTTCTTCAACTACAGCAAACATATTGTGCCACAAAATGCGTTTGCATTATTACCAGGCTTCCTTATGCCGTGTTTTCATACTTAAATGATCGAGAGGTCACAGAAGCTACCTTAGGTATCCACCTTTATAACAGTAAACTATACTACTGCAAATCCCGACTATAAATTTAAAGAAAAAGAAGAGAACAGTAATCTTTGCAAAAAACAATTAAGTCTAGTGAACAGACTTTTCTAGAATGAGACTTTTGAACAACTAGACGGAAAATTATGATTCTGTGTATGACATCTCACCTGTCTGAGGTTGGGGAAAATTACAGATTTTGATTTATTGTTAGGTCCTGAACACTCTTTGTGTGTGAGGAATATTAAAAGCTGTGAGTATTATTGCTGTTGTGCCACATTTGTAAATTTGGTAACTTTCTTGCTCTGAGCACACTCATATGGACTCTGTAACTCTAAGGTGCAGCATTGTAGGCTATTTAATAAGCTCAGAGGAAAGACTCCTACAAACAGCTAGAAGCAAGAACTGCAACCTCAGAATGTTTGTGGAAGCAGGATTAAGTCTTCGTAGTTGGTACCTCTCATTCATAACCTCTGACAGGCTTGCTTCTGTGCTTCTGGCAACTCCAGCTCTCTGTTGGGTTTATGTACCGACGATAGTGCTGTAATGTGGAAAATGCTAATACTCAAACTTTTCCCAGGTACGGAAAAAGTCTGTTTAGACAAGACAGCTTTTTTTTCCCATTTAAAAATAAAAGGCTTTATTTTATTTAGTGTGATTATTTTGAGCACTGTGAGAGCATACGTCAGGAAAATTACTGTGCACATAAGATTCTTTTAAATCACGAGTCACGGCGCTGGGAGGTCTTAGGTGTACAAGTGAGGAACAGATCAAAGAACAGCCATATCAGTCACACAGCCCAGCTTGCATTACTTCCGTGTACAAGGATAATGAGGGTGGAATCCATGAGGGGGATCAAATCTCACTGAGCTGCACTGAAATGAAAGAGGAAACAATTAGTGCTTTAGCACATGGAATCTGAAATCAGGAAATTGAACATTAAATTAGAGTCTCTCTATTTAGACATCACATTTGAAGTGATTAGTTTTAAAGCATGTGACTGAATAGCGGTTTTCAATTTTACAGCTTTTCCTGGATTTCCATTTGCGTGTCCTTATTTCTCACGCCATAAGTCATAAGCACATATGAAATTGAAGGCACTAACTCAAGCTACTTAAATAATTTCACCATGGTTTAACACAATTTAGAAAGACTTTAATAAGCCTTGCAACAAAAGGTGCCAATGACTGTAACCGGCGCTTTGGAATTAAATTTATCATACTCTGAAAATTAACTATTTTTCTCGACAGTTGCTTTTGAATTGGGGGAAAAACTGCTTCCACAGGAGGTAGCTCATTTTTTGTGTGTTCGTGTGTTATTGTGCTATTTATCACTTCTGTGTTTGGGCTCATCTTTATCAAGGCTGCCAGTAATTCTGGTATAAAATGCTGTGCGTGCCTGAGGTAGGAGTGACTGTGTAGGTGTCTGCTCGGGCTGGTGGTAATGTGCATCTGCATGGCTGCGTGGTATCACAACAGCTGCAGACGTGTGTGTGTGTGTGTTCGGGGGGGGACCACGACAGAATGAAACCTACAGCATAAGCAGCCACCCCTGACATAGAAGTCCTGTAGGAATTGAGCAAATCCTATTGTAAATTTGCCTACTCCATGAAGATAATTGGCTTATTCCTGTGTTAAATAGCCGGTCCTGCAGGACACTGACTGGGCTTAGCATGCTCCATGTAGACAGTGTGTCTGTTCCTCTGCTTCTTAGGGACTTAGAGGCACATTACATACTGAATTACTGTATGACAATGATGAACTGATAGCTGCCGTGCACAGCCCAGAGCTGCTATGCAGGGACAGACACGAACAAGAGTCTGCAAGGGCACAGGTTCCATTCCTATGGGGTGCTCCTTTTTGAAAAAAGCCTATATGGCTCCAGCTGCTTGATCTATGAAAGGCAGTTACACAGACAGGCTAGTTTAGGAACAATATGCACATCCAAGACTTCAGAGCTACATTTTCCTACATCTTGCAAAGCTCCCAATTTCTGGTTTTCATGCTCAAGTCTATGCAACAGTTTCAGGCTTCTGTTGAGCTTGGATGTGGAGAAAGTGTTGCGTAGCCTTACCTAAATCATTATCCACACATCAAACACCATCTGGCTTTCACTCCCTTACTTTGAAGATTCCTTCCTCATCAGCCCTTTGCCTAAAGCAGACACAACAGATAAATGTGTGTGTGTTTGTGTGTGAGCATGCATGCATATATGCAGACAAGCATACATGTGGCTTTTTCATGCTTGTTTTAACCTCGTAGCTGCTCGGTAACTCTGTAGCAGAGGTTGTCTCTCTGTTTCTTGGCCTCTGGGCTGCTGCTTAGTGATGAACCCAGCCCCAGCTGATCTAGCAGCTCAGAAGTGGTGGTGGGGGGAGAGAAAAGCACCAAAATGCTCAAATGAGAAAATGAGAGATTCAGAGATGGATGAATTGTCAGCGGATGTGCAGCTGTTCAGGGTCGCACGTGTGTATTTGGAAAGCTAGAGAGCTGGCTCGCGCAATTCTGGGACATGACCGAAAACTGTCTAGTTAGAGTGCATCAGGAAATGGATGAAAAGGAGAATTCCCTTCACGTGGTGAGAGGAAAGAGCTAGAGCTCAAAATGCTTCATCCGTGTGTGTACTGATAGCTGCTAAGTTGAACAAAGGCAGCAACAATGCTATATTTCCAAACTAGTGTGTCTGTGTGAAAACATGTCGGACATGCTGTGAAGTGAAATGGTTGAAAGCATCTTTTAAAGATTGACTGATGATATTGAGCAGATGAAATGGCAGCACCTTGGGGAGGGATTTTTGAAGCTAAAAATACAGAGGTAAAGGAAATATGCAGTCATGGTTATCTCTGTGTCAAATTGCACTGATAGATACCATAATATGGCGTTTTTTTTGGCTAGGTGTGATGTACTCCATCCTGTTCCATGTCAGCGCAATCTGCCATCTCTGACTGTGTAACGGATCGAGACCGAGTGTATCCTGGCATGCGTGCGCGTGCATTCGGGTGCGCGTACATCCGTGCGCTTTCCAGCCCTCTAGGAAGGCGTGGAGCGGGCTGTAAGAGCATGAGGTTCATCAGTAGTGTAATTAATGTAGTGCAGTTCAGTTGTCATGCGTGATATTTCAGGGCTCCGATCTACTTGAGAAGGCTTTTTGATGAATGGCCAATTAGAAGCAGACTCCTCATGCCTGGTGGCTGACTGATCTCTTTTTAATGGCACTCCTGTTTCTTTGATAAAACACAAAATGAATCATCGATACCCTGGCCCGGAGGAGCACCAAGCTCCGCGTTTAATTGTAATTGGGTGTGTAGCAGGACTTGAGGTCGAGACTGTGCCTGCGTATGTGTCTCTGCAAAGAGTGCGGCAGAGCACTTTTGCGGTAATGGCGGTCAGCCCCAGTCATACTCTGATGCACATGGCTGCTTTTCCGAAACATTATATGTAATTTTCTGGGTTTGTGTGTTTGTCTTTATTCCTCTATCCACATCATCGTTGTTGATCTATTAGAAGATTATTTCGGCAGCCCAGCTGTGGGCACGCTTGCAAACCCTCCCCCCAAAACACTAATTGAGTCTCATTGTTGCTGATTTTTTTTGAGTCTGACTGCTATTAAAGAACTCTTTAATCAGACAAGTTTTGCTTCCAAAAAAAATAAAATAAAATCCACGCTTAAACTTTGTTGCTCTGTTTTTGATGCTCTAATCAAAAAGTCCAATTTTATATGCATAATTAATGCTACAGAAAAAGAAAGACGAGAGGGAAAACCAGCCTTAACACATCCAAAGAAATACAAAGTCTCTTTTCTTCTTTGTTTGCCAGTTCCTCAGGAGATGGCCACGATGTATTTGCCATTTCCTCAGAGGGGGTGATGCGGTTGGGAGAGGCGGTTGTTTGAACTGAAGCTGTGAAAACACACCGTGTAACAGTCTGAGCAAGCAGCTAGCGTCTCAAACCAAAGAGCCCACCAGGAGCTTTTCGACCACCCAACGGGCGTTAAAGGTCTTTGCTACCCCTTTTATTTTTATGTTTCCCCGGGTCTCAGCAGCTGGAGATTTCTTCGCTTCCTCAAGCAAACAGAAGAGGTTCACAATGGGGTGATTAGTGCTGTCAAAATGCCATCCTCTGCTGATGTTGGGGGGACTGGGATAATAATCTTGTGATTCCCCGCCTGAGACTGCTGGAACACGTCGCTCATACCCGTCTGCCTGCAAATGGCACATACATTACGCGCCCTCGGGAGTCTCGGGCTCGGACGAACTTTCTTCAGCCTCGTACCTCAGCTCCACTACCACCACAATGTGACGTGGCTTCAAGCTGAAATTGCGAAGCGGACCTTTCACACTCTGTCACAAAGGAAGCTTGCTTGGCAGGTAGGCACTTGGGGAGATACAGAGGGAATCTTATTTTGTGGATTTAGACTTCATAAACATCATTATCATCTCCCCGACCTTGAGTTGCTGTGCTGTTCAGCGGCGACCCCAATTTTGTCAGGAACCTTGAATGGTGATGTGCGCAGTCTCTCGGGCACACGGGCAATCGAGTCAACAAAAAAGGGATTTTTTTCCCCCTTTAGAGTTTAGTGTGTGGTGTGGCGGCATGTGTGTCAGGGAGAGGGTGCGCATCTATGTACGTGCGCTGACTCAGTAATCTTTCATGCCTGCTGCCTGGAACCGTCAGCATCTTTCCTCCAAACAAAGTTTTCTGACTGTGCCTCTGCCAGATTTAAACTGTGTAGAACATTAGTGTAACAGCCCACGCTCTTAGAATACAGATTTGTTCTTGAGTGCACGCCAAATGGCCTCTATATTTTATGAGCCTCCTCTACTAACATACCATCTTGAGACTAATTATCATGGTCGCACTCAAACACAAAGCTCGTTTATTATTGCATTGACATCACATTTGTTTTGGCTTGGCCTACATGGCAGGGACTTCACAGCACTACAATGCTGGAATCATGTTTTGAGCTTGACAGAGCACGCTTTGGATGGAGAATCTGTTCTACCGTGCGTTGTACAAGGTGTTAGGGAGAAAGGTTGTTTGTTCTTTACAATCTTGTCATTTGTCTCTCTTCAAGTGGACTGTATTTTTTTTCCTGTTCCTTTTTTCCTGTTCACATGGGAGTCACACTCAGTTCTTGGAAGGCTGGCTTCCTCTCATGGTTCTGTCCTAGAAATGCCTTGGTACTTTTTTTTTATTATCATAATACTTTTTCCCCCAGCATAGTGTATCTGTACACTGATTCCAGCTATTTTTACACACACTGCAAGACTATTAATAAAAGTCTGAGTAATGCCGGTCTGAAAAATGGAAATGGTACATGAAAGAGGAAGTGGCAAATTAAAGGAGTTTTCAGTAAATGACGTATAATAGATTTATTATGACATTTTTTTTGCATGTTTTTGTAATTCTGTTGTGTACTTATAATAAAATACTGCAGTGATCCCATTAGGGAGTATCACAAAGGATTTTACCAAGCTACCACAGCTATTTAACACACCAATTTATCCCTTTCCAGGATCATGAGGCCAACAGATTCTATCCCAGCGCGCACTGGGCAGAAGGAAGGAAATATCCTGGGCAGGTTGCCAGTGTTATTGCATGATGAGCACAGACACAGACAACAGATAGACATGGGAAAAGCACATTTGAACTATGGGTTTGAACTATGAAACACTGAAAATCAAATTTAAATTTAATTTCTTGGAATTTCACATAATAAAAGTACAGAATATAGATAACAATGGATAAAGACAGCTAAAAAGAGAAAGACAGAGTGTGAAATATCTGCACGACTGCATCACAGCCCCAGCTAATCTATGGTAAACCCACACAGGTGTATTTACTTAAGTGGTTTATTAGACATGGCACCACTCCAGTCCTTAACAGAAGCCTCCTTCCAGACCTCAAAGCATGTTTGCTGTTGTGCTCAGCACTAGTTCCACAATTGTGTAGAACATGTACATGACTATTCTATTCTAGTTTACTAAGGTAAGACAAGGGGTATGTTTTCTAGTTAACTAGCCAGCTAGCTATCTAAGTAGGTGTAGGAATCTTTTTTTTGTTAGCTATGCAGCTCCATGTAGCTGGATGGACATCGTCACAGTGACATCACCTGTTGTAAGTTAGTTTAAATTTGAAGCCTTAAGCAGAGTGTTTTCAGTGTTCCTGGACGTAGTGATCGAGGGGCAAATCTGTGAACCTAAGTACGCAGACTGAGAACAGTGTGCTGCTGTCAAGTCATTTTATTCAGTGTCAGTGTGAAATTAAGGATGAGGACGGTGTGGGTCTGATTGTGAAACCACATAGTCCTAATTTACAACTCGTTGGCCTATGAGTGTGCAGATTCATACCAAATATCTCACAATTCCATATTGAAACATGATTTACAAAACAGACGTCATTTTTTAATTCAGTATGTACGGTGGCCATTAGATGTCAAACACTTGAAAAGGTTGCAGTGTTTTACCTCTCAGGGCCTTGAATATGACCCAAAATGTGACTCGGCACATAAACTTAGTAGGAAAATGTCCATGGACAGGTCTGTAAGTTCATCTCCTTCAGTAGTGAAAACCCTTGAATTTTCTTCAGTCTGCCTTTGATCTTGTTCAGTCCTGCTTAACTCAACTGAAGTTGGTTTTAAGTCCAGACACATCTAAGTTCATGTTATTATCATATGGGACAGAGTTGTTGTCTTCGCTTCCTAAGATCAAAACCATTCAATGGGCTGAAGTTGAAATGTTACATTTTATAAGCCACAATTTTTAGGTACCTAGGTAGCATCTAGTTTCCAGGTATCATTATAGATCACAATTTGTCATTTGAAGCTCACATTGAAAGCCTGTGTCCAAGCTGAAAGTTCAAATAGATTTTTTTTTTTTTTTTTTTTTTTTTTAGGACTAAATCCTGTTTTTCTCTCCAAGTGAGGAAGAACTTAATCTTTTTTTAATGGTGCCCATCATTGTACTTTGCATTTTATGGTTGGCTTTGGACATCGTGTACATCACTGTTCTCTGTATGTTGCTGCTGAGTGGCTGTCTCTGGATATCCACAGACTTTTCCATTGGTTTGTTTTTATCTATAAATCTATGCTTGGTCGGTTCCTTCTTATCTGTGTGTATGTGTGTAAAAACTGCAGCCAGTATAGCCTACGCTCTCACAGTATTATACAAATGTTTGTCCCCAGAGTCAGAACCGAATTAGGAAAAAAAAAAAGGCTTTTAAATACGCTGCCCCTGTTTCCTGGAATAATCTCCAGCAGGCGCTGAAATTGTCAGAACTGGTGATGAAGTGGGAGTGGAAGTCCATTTTAAAAGAGCGAGAGAATAGCTCTTTTGGTCAGTGTGACTGCTTTTAATATCACGCTGTTATTGCATATGATTCACATGTTTGTGTTCGCTTGTCTGTACTGGATACGAACTGTATTTGTTTCTTTACTTCTTATATTGCTATGTGTTGTATTTTTTTCTTCTTAGCCAGGTCTGTCTTGAAAAGAGATTTTAATCTCAATGAGACTTTTAGCTAGATAAATAAAGTATTTTCCCGTCGACGTGCACACGACAGCAAGTCTTATTTTGATTCACCATCTGGTAGCCTTAATGCATGTTTTTAGGCACTTTCACACTTGTTTTATAGTGTCTATGTCAGTAAACGTACTGCAGCTATAAGGCACTACGTCCATCTTATATGCTTTCTGTGTTTTCTGCATTTGTAAAAATGAACGACATTGAAATAGCTGAAAAAATAGCTTTATTCAACATAAATGCGCCGAATGAATAAAGTCAAACAAAATGGTAATTCAGTTCTCATTTCCATGCTAACAGTCTCCCCTAACCAAAAATATCTGATATTCATATTTGATTCAGTTGTTCTGCTTGCAGGTCTCATCCCCCCCTGTTACGCCTTACATCTGTAAGAGCTCGACGGGGGGACACAGTTGAGTTTGCTCTCCTCAAAGCCCAGTCCGACTCCCATAACTCCCAGTAAAAACACCTGCATGGGTCTGTTAAAGCCACTGCTGTTGTGCAAAAACAGCTGAATATCATCGTTATTATTCAACGCCACATCAGCTGAGTTAAAGCTTAATGTACAGTGACAGATCGATTTCTGGCAGCAGAGAGGTTGACTGCATATTGCCACATGCTAGATGGTGATAATATATTTCATCTTGTTGCAAAGGTCACACAATGCAAATCACGTTTAAGAATATTCTTAAATGATGGCTTTGAATTGCAATTAGCGAAGCATCCAGACGTATACATACTTTTTTTTTTTTTTTGCTGTTGTTGTTGTTGTTGAAAAGGCCTCCACAGTGCAGCCATTTTTCTGGAGAACTGCATCCCCTCTCTTTAAAACCATGAGTGACACATCATTTAAAAGCCTGCAGCAAACAGAAAATGACATATAGCATTACAGGGGCAGATTGTTCCTATAGCCGCTTGGCATATATCCTTATCCTTGGGTAAATAAGCCACATCCAAACACCTATGATAACATGTTAGCACGCTCTCAGCGACTGAGCTTTTTGCTCACCTGTTGGCAGCCATGTATGTTGTGGTGTTTTGTTTTTTTGTGTGGAAGCATGGACTCTGCCTCGTGTCCACGTGTTTGTCATCTATGATCACAGGCTGTGAAGATGACTACACTGCCAACGTTCATCTGACTCCCACAAACTGACTCATAAATTTTATGGCTATTTATGTCTTAACACTTTGCAGATGGAAGTGTTTTGTTCTTGATCGGGCCAGTTTGAAATGCGTATGAACACCTAATAATAATTTTTCTCTGCATAATAAGACCCCCACCACCACCACCACCCAATATCGGATTTAATACACTGCATCGGCTCCGCTCTTCTGCTTCTCGACTGTGCTTCATGCATTTGGAGTATGTCGGGCTGACATGTTTTCAGTTGTTCATCTGTTCCTGCAACATACACACTAACATATTCCACTGTTCTACTTTTGTCACTCTCTCTTTCTGTGCGCCTGCACAAATATGCTGTGACACATGGCAATATGGCAAATGTCAGCAAAGACAAAAGGGGCGTATGATCAGTTAGTCCCGCGATCTGTAGGTGCACACGCAAATATACGAACCAAGCCTGAAGTGTATGTACTTGTGCATGGGGGGGACAGCTGGAAATAAAGCAAGTGTGTAGGGATTGCGTGGGTGTTCTGGTGCGGCACATCTGGGTAGAGCGACACGAGGGGTCCTGACAGATATGGGCTGAGTGAGAGCCTGTTCCTGTTGTGCTCTGTCATGCTGAGGCTCCTTCCACATGCCTGCCTTTTCCCCCTCTGTCTGCCTGATGCTTCTGTTAGCTGTTAGGTAACCTGATGCCAGTGTGTGTGTCCGTATACATGCAATG